GGCTATTTTTAAGCAGGCATTTTCTTTCCCAGCTTCTCCCTCCCCTCTTCCTTTTCTGGATTCCTGCCCAAGGGGGGGGTTGTCTCTTTCCTCCTTCATAAAAGGCCCCCGGAGCAGGGGCTGGGCCTCGGGGGGTTATTTTGGGAGCCGCTCCTGGGATCCGATGGCCTTGTTAGGGCAGCGCTGACCTTTCTGCAGCAGGAGGAGGAGAGAGGGGAGGGGGAAGGGGCAGCGAAGGAGACAGACGCGCAATGGGGCTCTGAGAAGGGAGGGACGGGGCAGGCAGCCGGAGCAGCAGCAGGAGCCGTGGGGAGCACAGCAGCCTGGGCGGGTGTGACCAGGAAAGGGGCCCCCCTCCGAGGAGCCAGGGGCCCCCCCTCCCCTTCCCGGAGAGCCTCTTAAAGGGCCCGGACGCGTCCCCAATGCACCGGCAGGGTAATGAGAAGCCTGCAGAGATACGAGTCAGATCTTGCAGCTGAGGTTTTACCCCTCCCCTCCCAATCTGCCCCAGTCCCGCAGCATGGTCCATGCCTGCTTGTCCGGTCCTCTAGATGGCAGGTTAGTGCGGAGTGGGGTGCTGGCTTGCAGAGAGGTGCCCGTGGCGTTCACAGCGTCGGCAGTGTCCTCACACCCGATCCTTCTCCCCTCCCCAAGACAGGATCCCTTCCCAAATCCCTCCCTTCCTCAGTCCTCTGCCTGGGCAGCACCAAGCCACCATCCCGTTGTCCCAGAATCTTGCTTCGAGCCTGTTTAATTTGGAAATGTGGCAGCAGTTTAAATTCCCCAAACTTTTGCTTATGGAAAACAGGCCTGCTAAGTAGGAAGGAAAGAGAGGAAGAAAGGCTCAAAGTGGAGATCCCGGCTTGGATGGCACCATGAGTGGAGGAAGGTTTGATTTTGATGATGGAGGTGCATATTGTGGGGGGTGGGAAGGGGGAAAAGCCCACGGCCATGGCATCTGCACTGGTCCCAAGGGCCAAGGGGAGTACTCGGGCTCATGGAACTATGGCTTTGAAGTGGTGGGCATATACACCTGGCCCAGTGGCAACACCTATGAAGGCTACTGGTCTCAAGGCAAAAGGCACGGTTTGGGGATCGAGACCAAAGGACGGTGGCTTTACAAAGGCGAATGGACCCATGGCTTTAAGGGACGGTACGGGACAAGGCAGAGCATGAGCAGTGGCGCAAAGTACGAAGGAACCTGGAATAACGGGCTGCAGGACGGTTATGGCACTGAGACTTACGCAGATGGAGGTAAGGGGGACACTGGAGGTATCACTTGGGGTCAGGTCAGTGAGCAACATGATATTTGACTTGTACATCCCAAGGCTATCCATCATCTCAGGAGAGAGAGAGTTTAATGCAGATTACCTACGGCAGAAGCCCTTGCAAAGCACTTGACTGGAACATTCTACCTCTGCAATACATTTGTGTATATTTCCGCAGTACAGCACACTTTGTATGTGATATCTTTCTAATATACTCTGAGTTAGGCCCTAATTTCTGTAGTCTGGCTGGGAAATTGCAACATTCCGTAATCTACATACGTTTCCATTTTCCATTCACAAAACAAAAAAATTGTAAAGTTTCTGGATGAGTATGCTTTCTACTTTGAAACAAGGTCCACAAATGTCATGATTATCGATGTTACCCCCAAACTTTATTTTCTTGAGCTAGTGGCTAATGAAATGCTGGACTAATCTATCATTGGATTATATTATGGGACATCTGCTAACAGAATCATGGGCCCATGATTAGAGCAAACTACAAAGTGTTAAGAATTAATTTTCAAAGGGCAAAGAGTTGTGAATGTTTTTGCCTTATACATCAGTGTGTCATCTACTGCATTTTACTGCTTCGTGTCTATTTATTAAATACCACATTATGTGAATGCACTGAGTGAATGCAGTGAACATGTGCACGATTTAAACCCAACCAGTATGTTTATCAAAGCTGTCTAGGGGATTCAGTAACCTATCTTCCACTAATATATATCCCTGAGGCTACTTTGAAAATCTCAGCCCATGTTCATCCACAAAGGCACTCAATAGACAAGTATTTATCATGCAATTTGCAAATGCTCTGAACAGTGAAGAAAAACATTAATTTGACAAGGGGGGAAGCTTCTGAGGCTGATGAACAATAGTAATGCAATATCACAGGAATCCTGTGCAAGTAAATCTGTAGTTTTTCAATAGTATAACATTGCATGCTGCCATGGCTAAGTCAAAGGGTGCTAGGGGGAAGGGGAGAAGTACTTGCAAATATATTCCTGAAGATTGTGCTTTATTATTATTTAGGCCCCACAATGACAGTTATTTATGAAGAAAAACAATTTGAGAAATGTATCTCTTGCTAATAAAAAGCATATCACATACAGACGTTAAACTACTAGGAGAGTTCAAGCTACAGTATTGGCTTTCCAGAGTTTTGTTTTAATGTGCCCTGATACAGTAAGTTACTAAATCACATGCCTAAATTTAAGCATGTGAATAGCCCTGCTGAAGTTCTTATACTTACAGGACATGAAGTTGCAGTTAAAGCTGAAGATTAGAGATGACCTGATTCATTTGTCCAATTTTTCAACATCATCCTTCTTCTGTCTTCAGACTATGGGATTTGTTAAATAATCCAACTGCAGTTTACAAGACTGTGATAATACAGGGCAAGAGCTAAACTACATATGTTTGTAATGAATTGAACTATTGACATAAGGATCTTCGGGTCATTTGTAAGATATGCATATGTTCAGTGTAATGGCGCACTCATACAGTTGTTGTCGAGTAAATATTTTTCATTACTATAACACTTTATTCTGAAGGATGTCAAATTGCTTTAAACCATGCATAGCGATTGCTACAGCCACCAGTAAAATGCAGCTACCTTTGGGATATGATGTTGCAGGTATTCAACAACTCTCACGGCTACGTCTACACTGGCATGATTTTCCGAAAAAGATTTTCACGAGGAGTAACGGTAGTTCGGAATAGGAACCTAGTCCGAATTACCTAGTTCGAGCCCCGTGTAGCCGCGCTGCACGGGGTTCGAAGCAGCGGGGATTTAAAAATGGCGGCTCCCCGCTTATGCTAATGAAGCCCGGGAAATTCAAATTCCGGGCTTCATTAGCAAGTGCGGTATGCATACATTACCCCGCTAGTTCGAACTAGCGGGGTAGTGTAGACATACCCTATTTCCGCAAGAACACTGACGATCTTACATGAGATCGTCAGTGTTCTTGTGGAAATTCAAGTGGCCAGTGTAGACAGCTGGCAAGTTTTTCAAAACTTGCCAGTCCAGACACAGCCATACCAGTACAACACAATAAGGACATCAATGCATCTATGCAGGCTGAATTTGGCACAGAAATTGGAGTTTAACTGGTATTCTAGGTTGAACACTTCCATATTCTTCCCTGCAAATAGATAAATAAATAATGAAATTAAATTAAATAAATCCAACCCCCCAGAAAGCATCACTGTAGTGGTTTCCTCTGCCGTAAGTCAGAACTGTAATGTTGTGTGTCATCTAAACTATGGCACCTTTGTTGGCAGTAGTGCTCACATTTATTCTTGGCAAGGGTGAGGGGGAGGTTCAGTGCAAAAAAGAAAATTAAAATTCTGTACACAATATTTTAAAATTCTGCGTATTTTATTTGTCAAAATAACATCTAACCACACCAGTTTCAATTATATTGGTAATTTATTTCAAAAGGCTTGTCAGGAAGTATGTCTGTAACAACACACTCAACAACAACAAAATTCAGGAAATGTTTAGACTCCTTACTAGGTATAGTAATGAAGAACTTTAAGTGATAATTCATTTAAACTACAATATAGAAGTAGATTACCTGCTATGTAAGGCTATGTCTAAACTACATCCCTCTTTTGAAAGAGGGATGTAAATTAGACAGATCGAAATTGCAAATGAAGCCGAGATTTGAATTTCCCGTGCTTCATTTCATAATGGCGGCCACACGTTCTTTCGAAAACGGGTATTTTGAAAGTGAAACTATTGACTAGATGCGGTTCTTTAAAAAAAGAATCCTTTTTCGAAAGATCATGTACAGCTCCCATGTCCTTCAGTCCCACTAACCCTTCTGAATCCCAGTCAATATGGCCCCTTAGCAGCACTGTGCGCCACATTTTTTCCACATTCCCCCATATTCTGTGCCTCCTCACTGGGTCCTGCAGGCAGGGAGCTGTGAAGAATGCAGCCTCTGGCCCCTCTGTCTCCATAACTGGCTGCTCCAGTTCTGAACCAACTTGTCTTCTCTTCTGGTGCCACAGCAGCCTCTGGTGGGTAAAAAGTTGTAACTGCAGAATCTTCCCAGAACAATCACTTTTCTTCAGGGGAAAAAAATACCAACCTAAGGGGACATGAATTCTGCATGGGCACAGTGGCACAGAACTTCCTCAGGAATAGTGTCACACTCCTTGGGTCTTGTTCACCATTAAAGTAGAATCTAGACTCATTAGGGACCATGCCACATAAAGTATGCCTGACACAACCTTGGGCCACTGGCTAAATATGGATCCAGAAAGACGTGATTTACTGAATCACCGAAATCATTTTATGCAATGTTTAGTTATTGATATGCCTGTGTGGTCTCCCATCCCCAATACTGAACTAGTTTGATGCTGGTTAGCTGCAAAGAGCTGATCTGTACCCAGACTGAGGTGGTGGAGCTGTCAAGTGTCTCCTAATTTTATTGGACAATTAGGTCCAGGCTTGATGTGTGTCTGAGCAGGTCATTCAACATATGAATTTCTCTGACAGAGTGTTATGCAAGGCTTGTGAGTAGTAACTGACACTGAAAATGAGAAGCAAGGTGGGATGAGTAGGAACTGGATAAGCCATGTGGTTGATGTATCCAACCTGTCTCCCCACATACACCTGCTGGCCATTTGCAAGATCAAAATTTGTACTGAGGTACCCGAATGAAAGATCTGGGAAAGCCAGATGGACCTACCATGTGCTGTGACAAAGAGCAACCCTGAATTGCTTCTAACTCCCTAGCAACTAGGCATGAAAGGAGGGTGAGCTCCAATAAGGTGAGGTCCGTCACCCGCTCTTAGCCTGTTGTCATATTTGAAGGTATAAAGAACATGTTTGTTTGTTTGTTTAAAAATGTAATTAACTCAGAGCACCATGATATAGTTTTGTTCACAGAGTGAGACTGGGGCCCTCTAAGAGTACAGTACCTTATAAGTGAAGGCGAAGAGGAGCTAGGATCGGGGATGCCCTGTATGTGTGTGTGAGTGAGCTAAGCATGTTACAATGCTGAGTAAATGACTCATTGACTGAGCTCCCCGCCCTGGCCTTATTCCTAACCGACACAAACCCCCGTCATTTTTGTACAAAAGAGAAAGATGGGTGTGTCTGGGGAGCCAGCGGGGGGGGGGGGGGGGGG